TGGTTCTGTGGCCAGAATCCGTCTCAGGTCACCAAGAACCTCCAGCGGTCACTTCATTTGTTTTCTCTGAACTTGAACAACCTCCTTAAACACCTTCACCAGAGCTGAGGATGAAGTTCAACTTTAAAACAGATTTTTAGAAAAGCAGATCAAAGAGCTGAGCTGTTCACGTGGAAGACGTTGATGCTGAACCCAACATGTTCTAAGCTTCATGTTTTGTGTGAGTTCTGTCCTGAACCCAGTTTACAGGTGAACCGCTGCAGACACCTGGACAGGTGTGGCGCCTGTTTGGATACAGAGATCCTCCTGTGTTGGAAATATTATTAAATTATTATATTAGTTTATATTTTTTACTTGTCAGCCACAAGTTTTATGTTACAAATGTTCATTTTGGGTCTCCAGAAATGACAAACCAGTTTGCATATTTAGGATGCAATAATTAGCAAAATGACCCATAAGGACAATGACATGGACGTTACTGGAGTTCAGGTGTTGCTGAGGACAATCTGTTTATGAGATTTTTAAGATTAAAATTCGGGCAATTTGAAAATGTTTCAGTCGATGTTTTCTGTTATTTACGTGTTTAATGCTGTAAAAACGTACAAAGAAGAAAAATACCAAAATGACACCAAGAAGAGGAAGAAACTGTAAAACCTGAAATAACTGTCTGATTTTCAGCCGTCTGACTGATTAAATGTATTCAGCGTCCTCAGTGACCCCATAAACTACGTCAGTGTTGTACCGACGATCCAGTTTCTGATCTTGTCCATGTGTAGGCCATGATGCTAATTCATGCTAATGATGCTAATTACAAACATATGCGAGTTGGCATCCAGATGCTACCTGCTGGCGACCCAGACTGCACAGTTCTGCTGCAAAACTCTGGCTGACAAGAAGCCGGTTCTGTTCCCATCGTGCCTGCTTCCTGCCTGTCTGAGCTCAGATGTAGGTTTTGGGACAAAGCGTCGTGAACGTCTTCAGCCAACAGAAAGCCGCTAACCTTCTCTTCTTCTACCTCCCTCACTCTGTCCTCCTTCCTCCTCCAACTGTTAAACAGAAGCAAGACGTTCTGAACCAAGTAAGCTCCGGCCCGGCGCTCTGCATGCTGTGTGTGTCGGTGTCGGCAGGCTGCATGCTCATCCGTCCACTAACACCACACAACCTCGCCTTAGCGTGCAGAGGTCAGAGGTCACGGGTGGCCGAGGGAGGTCTGACAGCACACCTGTGCTCAGGTGTTCTCCTCCGAGGCTTCGTCTTCCATTCAGTCCTTTAAACAGACAAAGATTCAGGACTTTTTTAGAAAACCCCGACGCGGCACCCCAGATCAGCAGACCTTCATTTCAGGGCAGCCTGAGCTGCAGATCCATCACATCCTCCTCTCCTGTCGTTGTTGTACAGAGTTCATCATCCGTCCGTGGTTGGTGTGAACTCCATCCTCCGTCAGAAACCCCGTTAACCTCTTTGTTTCTCCTTCTGCATGCAGCCCATCGACTACGAGGGCTTCCAGCTCTTCATGGCCACCTACCTGGAGAACGACATCCCAGAGGAGCTGTGTCAGCACCTCTTCACCTCCTTCAAGAGCAAGACGGGAGGCTGCTCTCCGGACCAGTCCCGGGCTGGGACCAGTTTACTGGGTAGGCTGCTGATCTCCTTGTTAAAGCCGTAGTTATGTCCATCTGTAAGAAACAACCCCATCTGGTGGCAGGAACAGGAGCTAGAGAGGAAACCCGGCGTTACTGTTGGACACCAACAGCCTCCAACAGTCAGCCGCATGTTGCTGCTTCAGAACAAACCATCCAGCTTCTCTCCCAGAACCCTCAGATGTAGAGCTGAAACCAGAAGTTTACCGTAAAAAAAGACAGAAAGCCTTTTCCTTTTTGTCTCACTGTCTGACATTAAATCAGACTAAACTTTTCCTGTTTCAGGTCAGTCAGGATCACCAACATTAGTTCTATTTGCTAAAATAATGAGAGAGAGAATTTTTTATGACTTTCTTCAGAGTCAGAAGTTTCCATCCATCTCCTCAGTATCTGGTAACGTTGCCTTTAAACTCTATGACTTGGGTCAAACCTTCTGGGTTTCCTTCCACAAGCTTCTCACAACAGTCTGATGAGTTCTGGCCCATTCCTCCTGACAGAACTGGTGGAACTGGGTCAGGTTTGTTGGTCTCCTTGCTCCACTGATGTCCTCCAGGATGGAGATCAGGGCTTTGTGATGGCCACTCCACAACACTGACTCTGTTGTCCTGAAGCCTCTCTGTAGCTAATCTGGCGCTATGCTGAGGGTCATCGTCCATCTGAAGACCCATTAGTGTCCAAGCTTTAACTTCCTGCTGATGTCTGGAGATGTTGCTTCAGTATCTCCACATCATGTTCTTTCCTCATGATGCCATCTATTGTGTGAAGGTCACCAGTCCCTCCACAGCATGATGCTGCCACCCCCGTGCTCCACAGCTGGGATGGTGTTCTCAGGCTTCAAGCTTCCTCCTTTTTCCTCCAGATGTACCGATGGTCATTAAGGCCAAACAGTTCAGGTTTAGTTCCATCAGACCACAGGACATGTCTCCACTGATGAAGCTCTTTGTCCCTGTGTGCATCTACAAACTGTGATCTGTCAGAAGCTTCTAAAGCCATGACATCATCATCTGGGCTTTCCCAGATAGTCTGAAGGCATCTTAGTGGATGTAAACTTCTGACTCTGAAGAAAGTAATAAAAGATTCTCTCATTATTCTGGCGTTTAGCAAATAGAAATAATGTTGGTGATCCTGACTGAGCTGGAACAGGAAAAGTTTGATTTAATGTCAGACGGTGAGACAAAAAGGTTTTATGTCTTTTTCTACAGTGGATGTAAACGTCTGGTGTCAACTGTATACACATGAGTTCAAACTGGTCAATCAGGACACATCTGTCATCCAATCATGTTTGAGATCTCACCTGCTCAGTGAACCAGTAAGAGAGCAGCTCTGGAGGCGAGTTTCCTCTTTTAGCTGCAGGACAAGATGCTGCTGAGAGGAACAAACTGTTCAGGTGATGTTCAAACGTTCTGCTGCTCGAATCACACAAACACACTTAACTCTGACAAGTACAGATTTCTCTGCAGAAACTGGAGCTGTAACACTTAAAGATGTTCCCTGTGTGATCCACCGTTCTTGCTTCCCAACATTCATCTAGAAGTCCACCTTTCCATCTGCGTGCTGGAGCTTCTCGTTGTGCAGAAACATGCAGGCGACTGACGCATTCGCTCACATCCGGTCTCTGAGGAGTGATTTCACACGTTAGCTGTGGAGGGCAGCAGCTCCGGCATCTTCAGGGCTGTGGGTCATTTACACTGAGCAGGATGCAGCGTTCCTCCATGTTCCCCGGCGACGCCGAGTGGGCCCAGAACCAGGATCTGCTGTCGGAGCAGCTGAGCAGACAGATGGAGGCTGAATTAGAATCTATTTCTGTGCCATAATGCTGCAGAAGTGAGAGGCAACAAGTGCAGGAGGCGAAATGTGAGCGACAGTTTGTCACTTTGGGGAGTCGCAGTGTTTCAGGCAGATTAGTTTGTGAGCACAGTTGGACGCCGACACCTTCAGAACCGCCAGATCCTTCTGGTCTGCAGTCGGCTTTCCAAAATGGACGTTTGTGCTCATTTTCAAGTGTTGCACTAGAAACATTTGTGGAAACAGCTTTTCTGGTTTAGCTCCGACACAGAGAACGTTTAAAGAACCAGTTGATCAAAACATCGGATGGACGTTCTCAGTGTTGGACTGAGAACGTCCATCTGTGGTTATCATCGGAGAAACGTCTTACAGGAGAACGTTCTAGAATGGTTCCCTCAACAGAAAGAATTACGAAAATGTTCTAAAAAGTTCTGTCACTGAGGCTTCGATTTTCTGAATGTTGGTTTAGGAACGTTCTTCCTTTATTATCATGGAACATTGTGGGAATGTTTCATGGAAGAATGTTCTAGAACGTGTTCCACCTTTAATGAACAGGAACATTAAAAAAAAAAACGTTCTGTAATCTGACGCCTCAATAACATCTGGAAAACATTTTTCGGGCATTGCTTTGAGAACGTTCCTTCCTCGTTTTCATGGAACACTGTGAGAATGTTTTATAGAGGAACGTTTCACAATGCGTTCCCTCTGCAACGTCCACAAAACATACACTCTATCCCCAGCTGTTCTCAATATATCATGTTAAAGGAACGTCTTATGAAGAACGTTCTGTCATCTGAGGTCTCAATGATACAACCTGGAAACGTTTTCTGAATGTTGCGTTGATAACGTCCTTTCTTTGTTCTCATTGAATTGATAGAAGAACGTTCTATATGTGTTCCCTCAATAAAAAGGCTAAATGTTCCACCTTCATTACATCACACTAGAGGAACATCATTAAACGTTCTGTCACTGAGGCCTCGATAACATCTGGAAAACATTTTCTGAATGTTGGTTCCTTCATCATCATAGAAGAACGTTCTATAAAATGTTCCTTCAACTTCCTCCTCAGAACGCTGCAGGCAGAATGTTCCCCTTTTGTTTATTCATCAGACTACAGGAACATTTTAAAAATCATCCGAGGCCTCGGTGGCATCTGGAAAACATTTTTTTAGCGTTGCTGTGAGAACGTTCCTCCTTTGGCATCGTCTTTGTTCCTGACTACATCCTCTAAAGGCTCACTTCTAACCTCATCGGAATATTGTTGGAAATGATAAATATCTTTGAAATGTTCTGCGAGCATTAGCTTAAAACTTTCAAACATTACTAGAACATAGAATAATGTTCCTGAATATTGTGGGAGTGTTCTCTGATAGTTCCTCCGTCAGATCTTTCTTTATATTCAGGAGGTTTTTAGAGGAACCTTTGATGCCTCCTCTGAAGAATTTAAACCAAAGAAAATGAAAAGAGTTCCCAATAAACAGAAGTGAACTCTGTTTGTGTGCTTTAATCAAGATTCCTGTTTGTCAGATGTTCAGAAAAATCAGGAATATGTTGATTTCTGTCAAGTAAGACGACAGACTTGTTGTCTTGCTGTTTTGTGTCGTCCTCTGAAAACCCCTGAAAAAATCCACAAAAATACATGTTTAAGCGACTAAAAGGAAGATCTTCTCGTGTGACTCGTTCTGCTCTGATCTGCTCTGAGCGGATCGTTTTCATCCGTCTGAGGCACAAACGAATGTCTCAGGAGGCCTGAACACAGGTGACAAATTAAATCTAATAAATTCACTTCATCTTGTTCAGTTGATGAAACGCTTGATGTGGGATTTGGCGTTGGTGTGTTGAGAGTCTGCCACCTGGTGGACGCAGCTGCTCACTGCTTCTGTTAAGACTTCTGTCTGAGGAACAACGATGAATGTTGTTAATAATCTTTCTCTACATATGACGCGTTGTTTTCTGCTTCCTGCATATAGTGAACCTTCCATCATGTCCACTGACGCTGCAGCTGCTCTTCACAAAGCTTCCAGAAACGTTATGCAGATCCACTCACTGAAGTCTTTCTTCTCTAACCTTCTCATTGTCGCTGCATGTTCCGTTTCCTTTTTCCTCCTCGAACCGTTGACCGCAGAAGCCCGCTCCATTGACGCAGGCATCTCTATTCAGACCGAAGTGGCCTGTGCCCCCATTACAGGTACCAGAACAGGCCGCCCGCCGGGTCGCCTCACCAGGGACACGAGTCCCGACCCGCTGCTGCTCTGGTTGTGTTGTCGTGAGTTCATGGTATTTTGGCTGTGGGCCGCTGGATGACAGTGATGCTTTGTGAGTGGTTTTAATGCCGTGTGTTTTCACGACCTGCTTTCTGTCCCTCGATGCAGCTTTGAGTTGTTGCGTATTTGGATTGTGGTGAAGTTTGACAGTATTTCTGCTGTGGTTGTGTTTGTTTTTCCTTCTGCAGAGCCTTTAAAATGGAGAATTCATCCTCCTTGGAAGTTTTCCCTTTTTTTTGCTTTTCAGTATTGAATCAAGGTCAATTTATTTTGTTTGTTTTTGTGATAGGAATTTACAAAAAGGAATC